AAAGAAAATTTATACATATCATTTCATATTTCTTTTATCATTTTTGTCTTCATCGTAATTTATTTTCCTTTTTTCTTTTCTTATGTTTTACCATTTGGTGGAACCTATCGACGAGAGTTAAGACGGTGTCCAGCAAGTAGACCTAGCAAATAAGAGCCAGTGAAATATTGCCATCTGGAAATTAGGTGATCAACGTTTATTTATAGAACTTTTTAAGATACTGACAGTTACATATGATAAAAGATAAATTTTTGTGAATGTAACACGACGGTAAAGGATCAAAATAAAAGTGGTCCTGGTTCCTGTCAAACTAAATGCCTTCTATTTCGTGGAAACAAAACTGCTTTGTTTTTTTCTTCATGTAAAAACTCTATTCATTATATATATCGCAGTGCATATATTATAGCTACGTACACATGTACTACAGTACAAATTTATGCATTATATACGTATTAAAAAGGTAACGGGGAGCGGTTCAGAAACTTAAATATGATGTTCCCTCTCACTCTTTTGTTCATTCAATTCTCTGTTTCCCCACAAAAGAGGTAACCATTATAAATAATGATAAACAAAAACAAATATCGGAATTTTTTTTTTCATTAGGCGATGGGGGCAAGAGTCATGAGAGATGTACTACTTTCTCGTAGATCCAGCTTGTTTTTATTTTGTTTTATAACAACAACTAGTAGTATTTGCTATTTAAATTTAGATATATAATAGGCATGTAGTAGTAATAATTTGGAGCTTGCTAGTACTTTGTGTTGTTTGATAGTGCAACTTAGTTTACTTTCCCTTTGAGTAAGGAACTCTCGTAGAGTTTGGCAATATTAAACAATAAACCCTTTCTCTGCATTTGAATTAGGAACGAAATAAACAAAAAACAACACAATTTATAGACAAGAATATTACCGAAATTCATAATTTTAAAATACAAGTTATAAAAAAATTATTTGTATGATTATACATAAATAAAAATTCAAACATAATTTTTACTAGTATTTCCACGAAAAAAATTGTGAAAGCCATGATGATACTGTTATATAAACGTTCCATGATGTGTACACATGTGTTGATGATAAGAAAAACTTTGTCAGCTAAACAGGATAGTAATCCAAACAACTTTTTTTTTCTGTGTGTTTTCCTTTAACAATCATGCATCTACATCATCTATCATAGTATTTTTTTTTCTTTGGTAATTGTGGAAGTTCGTTGAGTGGTAACATCTCTGGGGCCACACCAAATCAGATCCTCCAAATCTTGCTTTTAGTCCGACTGAATATCATTATACTTATAATAATAACAGCGGTTATAATTAAATTATGTTAAGACGCATTGTGGTTGCAAAGCCTTTTTAGAAAAACATGTATAATTTCTCTTTGTGTTGTACTTAAAAGTTAACCAGGAGAACTCATTTGCGTTTACATGTGAAACAAAAGTACATTTGTGAAATAAAGAAATAAAAAGTTTATTCTATATAAAATATACTTACGAATACATACACAAACGATTTCTAGTATAGTGATGATAATTGAACGAAAGAAAAGTCTCTCAAAAGATTTATACACATGATGATTCCTAAAAATTACTCCCATTTATGATATAGTACTAACATTTGATCTAACTTGAAGCTGTGTGAAAAAATGATGTATCCCGAAATCGTTTTGACGGAGAACGATTTCGGCTCTAACATTCTTTTCATTTATTACTGAATAACTTTGTAAGAAAAAAAATTCATCATAATTTTTTTTTTTACAATTTACATATACATAGTTAACTACTCATAGCAGTTGAATTACAAGTATCACATACAGTATGAATAATTTTAAGAAACCATTATAAACTTATGACATGTTATTCATCACGTATGGTATCTTACGATATAAATCGTGCTAATTACAAGTAAGTCACTAATAACGTAGGTAATCGACATCAATTCAATATTTGCGAACGGTTGATAGTAAGATGGAATAGAGAGAGTAAGGGAAAAAATTTCTTTAATCAAGTGCTTTTCGTTTTTGGGGGTGGGGAAAATTTCTCTGGAAAATTAGTCACTCACACCCTTAGATAAAAATGCGGATTAAGACCTTTCATAAATATCTTTTTCTCAGGGGAAAAAAAATTAACTAAGATTTAAATTTATCAATAAATCCAATCATGCAAGGGAAATGTAATAATATATAGGAAGAACAAAATTAAGGGAGAAACATAGCTACATCACATCATTTGTATATATATTAGTGGATACCCTACAAATTGTCTTTTGTCTCCATAATTTTATTTGTCATATATTAAAATTGCATCATTAAAGAGACAAAAATTGAAAATGATCCACTTTTCTCCTCTCCTATTTTTCCACCCCCGAATAATTCTTGAAGTTTCTGCTTCTTTATTTACTTTTTAGTATTATATTTCATCTTTATTTTGGATTATATGCTCGCTATCGTAACTTTTTCTGTTCTTTCTACATGAAAAATTAATATTTATAGTCAATGAAAATTAAATATTATAAATAGTCATTGATGTGTCCTTCATCCACACGATGGGCATGTATATAATGAATTAATATATTTCAAATCGAAATACTATTTTGTCACATTTAGACCGTAGCTTTAAGCCTTTATGAGAGATTTTGTAGCAAGTCTTGATATCTTTTTTTTCCCCACCAAACTAATCCAACAACATGACTGTTCATGATATTCGAAACCATACATAAAAATTTACGATCGTAAGTATCACATGACGAAGAGATATTTCCATATGATTGGAAAGAAAAGGAAAAATAAGTGATGAAATCTAGGGCTGGACATAAAGCCCAATGGGCGAATATTTTTAATGGGCTTCAACAATTGATAAAAGACGTGAAAAACTTGTGTGAGAAACTATTTGGTCCAAACATTTTTGTTCTTCAGTCCTGACACTGGAAAAGGCTGACACAGCATTAATTCTTTGCCCGACGGACAAAGTTGAGATGATTTTCCGGAAGACACAAGAAATATAAATATGCTTGAGTTTAATAGCTTCACATTCACGTCATTTATGAAATCTCTATCCACTATCAGCCAGCCTGTAGCTGAAACCCTAGAAAATCACTACAAGAGCCGTCTCAACAGATCCGTTGCCACGCTCCTACGAGTCTACTTCAAAGATCTTTGGACCGGAACAGCCACCGTAGCTGCCGTTGTTCTCCTTGTTTTGACTTTGATCCTGACGGTGGCTTCCGTTCTCCAAGTGACTCAGAATGACGGAAAGTCACCACCGCCTCCAGTCCAGCTCCTCCCCGAGGACTGTAGATTGTTTCTTGTATAACAAGAAACAAAGCCATAGATTTTTCTTATTCCCCACACAAAACAAAACTTTGTTTTTTCTCTCTATCATAGTAAATCTGGAAAAATATGAAAATTAATGAATGCACTTATATTATTTTTTTGTTGGTGTAAGAATGCACTAATATTTGATTTGTAATCTAAAATTAAAACGTTCAGTATATGGACTATTCTTCGCTAGCAACAGTTTCAAAGGAACCATATCTCCCCGAACGACTAGATATTCAGCATTTCCTAAGATCGTTTTTAAAAATATTTAAAATGGTGTTATTTGAAGATTATTTTCCAATAAAGATCATTATATTTCGATCAGGAAAAACAACGTTCCGCTTCCTAAACAACAACAAAAGTAAAACATCATATAATCATTTAGGATCGAATTAAGATAGTGAAGAATTACTTGAATAATACCAAATGGACAAGGATACAAATCAAAGAGAACAAGAAAGATTAAAACAGAGCAAAAAATAATTGCGTCTAAAGATATCCCTTTAAACGATAGGGGGGGGGGTTTCCGCGCGCATTTTTATGCCCGTTTGTAACTTCAACCGAAACGAGATAAAGGCCTGGGAATAAAGCCCAATGGGCTAATATTATGATGGGCTCCCAAAATTATTGATGGTCCAACGAGTTGACAGCATAATTCTTTGCCCAAAGTTTTAAATATTTCAATAAAGAAGAAAAAAGTTGGGAAGAATTGCCTAAATTCAGCCGCAATATAAAAATGCTCCAAACTGAATAGCTTTATATTCACATCATTTATTTCTTCATTTCCCTTTTATAAATCAAACGCATCCTAATATAATGCATGCACAGGTAACTAAGAAGAACCATGTAGAAGCAACGGCTTAGGGCATTTGATCGAATTGCCTGTTTCAGCAAACATGGCCAAGGTTCGAAGAGAAAACTAAACTTCCTTACATACACATATTATTATTATTATTATTCATTTTATAGCATCATTTCTTATTTTCGGGTTCTCTTACGTTTTTCATCAACGTGTATTAATATTTTTTGTAATTTTTTATTTTTTTTATAGGAATAATAGAAAACAGTATAAGAAAGTCTCTATATACTGATACTGTAACTATGAACTAAATATAAAATCCAAAATACTTGTGTGACTAAACAATAAAACTAATGACTTATCTAATTAAACCAGAATCCAGCTAATCATCTTGCTGTTAATAGATTAAATTAGAAGATGTCCAAATACAAGATACTGTACATCCAAATATAAGATACTGTACATCCAAATATAAGATACATATCCAGCTTTTTTAGCATAGCTTGACATATACAGTATATGTCCAAATACAAGATACATATGTATAGCAAGCTATGCTAAAAAGCTAAAAAATCTTTTTGTAAAAAAGAAACAAATAGAAAATCTTGTATGGTTGGGACCACAAAAATATATCTACAACCATCGTGATGTTACATATATGGCAAGCTATGCTAAAATAATCTATAAAATCCTTTGGTTAAAAATAAACAAATAAAAAATCTTGTGCGGCTACGACCAACAAAACTCTCCAACTCTTAATACCCTAACTTATGTAACTTCACTCACACGCGTTATATATTATTTTTCATCATATATACAGTACATAATCAATTAATCATAGACTTTACATAATCCAGTTCAGTAAAGTTTAAAATGTGTAAAAATAATATATGTTGAGTGTTGACTGTTTTACTCGTAGAACAAGCAACCACTCAAGGTGAACCTGGATGAAGGATCACAAGGAGCAATTGCTACTTTCAACGAACTTAAGCTGATAACGGATCAAGAACAAGAACCCATTAATGATTTAGGATCTAGTCGTCTTAGCTTTCGTTTAGTCAAGGCCATGACTGACATGGATAGACCGGGTTCTTGCTATGAGGTCAACTTTTTATGGCCTTCTTCGGTCAACCACAACTATTGTTGTTGCATCTATAGAGTGCCATGCGGGTTAAGGGGTGTGAATCCAGAGGCTTACACTCCTCGAATGCTTCTCATCGGCCCTATTCACCATTTTAAAAAAGCTCAAGCTGCTGAGCTCTCCAAACCCTATTTGAGGTATGCAGCATAAACTTAGTATCCTAGGTTGCGTATTCGGGTAATTCGTCTCGTTAGGTTACGCTTCTTTCTAGGTTTTGTAAATATATAGTATTGTAGGTCTAAAATGCTTTTAGATTTGGGTCCGATTATGGTAACACATTTCACGGATATGCGTCGGCTTGACCGTGTCGAGACGCTAGGTCTAACAAAAGAAGAGCAGATCAACTCAAAGTTTGTGAGCATGGAGTCGAGAGCTATACTTCGCAACGCAGACATGTTAGACAGTGCAGGTGTGAAATTTGACGTTTTTGATGATGAAGTACACATTAAAGATCAAATTTGAAGATGATGATATCTTGACAATGACTTGCTTCATTGCAGAAAAAGGGTTGTGAGGAACACAATGGCACTCGAACAATTTCACTACACTTATACAGCCTATGTTTGTCACTACATCGACTTCTTGGACTGTCTCATTGAAACTGAGAAAGACGCTGACTTGCTCGTCAACGCAGGTATAGTTTTACAACTTTTTACGGGCATTTCAGATCATAGCTTTATATCTTCAAATCATCTCTTAACACTTGTAAAAAAAATAATACAGGGGTTATAAAGAACTTGTTAGGACGTAAAGGATTACTCGCGGATATGGTGAACAAATTGTCTTTAGAGGTTGTTGACTATGGCAATTACTATTACGATATAACTGAAAGCCTCAGCGACCACTACGATCGAAAACTGTTTCAACAGATCCGTGGCCACTCTCCGGCGAGTCTACTTCAAAGACGTTTGGACCGGAACCGCTCACACCGTCGCCGTCATTCTCCTCTTGTTAACTTTGATTGGGACAGTTCCTTTCGTTCTCCAAGTGGCCAATAAAGACAATAGTCCCACTATATCTCTCACACCTCCACCTCCTTCTCGGATATTGTAGAATGTTCTTTTTGATACACAATAGATCTTTGTTTTTTCTATTTTTTTTTCATATATTTGTTTATTTTTTTTATCATTTCTACTGTTTCAAAACTACTTCCGGGGGCTCGTTTTCTATAACAGTTGTTTGTTTTGTGTCATCTAATCAATAATCAAAAAATAAAGCAATCTTCTAATTATCACAAATTATTATGCTCTTGTCACGTATTTATCTTTGTACATAAATAAATGTTGTCTGCGTATTCAGATGCATTGTCACTGTATTTCAACCGCTCTAAGAAAGAAAATGAAAAAACATTATCATAATATTATCTCAACAGTTTTTCATAACCATTCATTAAAATAAAAAAACAACAACACCATATTTTTATTCCAGAAACATAACTTAAGAGTCATGACTCGATCGGTACAATTAAAAAGACTTTGATTGACACAACAAAAGGGGGTTAAGTCACCATTCGCCGAGTCCATAAACGGCCACAGATCACCACTGAGCACCAATGAAACCGTTTCTGGCTGCGATTCTCCTCGACCGGCTAATAAACCTCCTGCAGATCAGCGGACGCCCAAAGACGTTGTAGCTGACCCTTTCATTATAATCCAGCACAATCTTAGGTATGCAAGTCTGAGTGAACATCACTCTGCCAAACAGAGACGGCTTCCCTGCCATTGGCCTCTCCAATTCCACATCAACCACTTGAAATGGGAACATGCTGCTCATCATCATCATCATCATCATCATCATCATCATCAACATGTAAATTTATATGAAAGCAACCACATGACTAACACCAACCAAATATACACCAAACGTGACAAGCAAATATTTACTGTCTATATGAAATATAGTACTTGAACAAACTAAAACCAAAACTGTTATCCATATATACACATAGCCAAACATTACGGTAATTGCGAAGATAATAGGTATGGTATTGTGACAAAAGCATTCGCGTGGAAACCAAAAAAAAACTGTGATCCGTTTATAGATTTGAAGAATTAACTTGCCTGTCGAAAAAAAACACGATCTGTTCTTCCGAGAGAGGGAAACCATTGGAGAAGGTCAGAAAAAGGCAGCGCTCGGCGATGCTCTCCTCCAAACTGAACGGTCGCGCATACGGATTCAGAACCATGATGATGACTTCTCTTTCTCTCTCACTCTATCTTCTTCTTCGTCGTCTATCTCTTTCCTGAAGAACAAGAGATATGTGCACAAAGATATGTGTATATAAAATGAGAGGTCACGTAAGGATGCAACGTTTGGGGGGGAGGATTAAGGGATAATGTTTTGGTAAAATCCTGATTAAGATTACAATTTGTAATTCACAGTCAAGTGCATGCACTATGTGTCACACGCAAACACAAATCATTTTTAATATTTCCATAAAAGACTTTCATTTTTCCCTATATTGAAATATTTTCGGGTGGATTTTCTTGAATCCACTGTACACTTGTAATCGGATCGTGGTATCAAAAGATTTCTCTCCATATGCGTCATTATTAGCATATTCAGAATATTGACTGTTTTTAAGGAAAACTAATAAACCCTTCAACAACAACAACAAAAAAAAAAAAAAAAAAAAATTTCAAAAAATACGTATAGTTGTAGTATTTTCAGTTAATATTTTATTCATAATTTTATATTCTTGTGTCAGTTTTATCAGACATAATAACTGAAAGTTGGTTTGAAAGTTCACTTGTTTTCAAGGAATCAACCCAGATTACTACTAACTACACGCATTAGTAAATTTATCTGAACTCTCAACAGATAATGATAATAAAAAAATTCATGAAATATATGCAAGTAAAGTTCCAAAAAGAAACTTGCCACAATACTTTTGATTTACCATCAAGTTTGGTTTCTTTGAAGTATATATCGTACTGTAGACTGGAAGATAAGTAGCATACTTAAATCTCTCTCAAGGTCAAAGCCTGAGATTAGTATTATATATGTACACACACACACGCACTCTCTTCAACAAAAACATTCACAAAAAGCTTTAACAATGGTCAAAGTTTTATACTTCAAAACCGTCTAGTTGCAGAGCAACGTGTCCCGAGTTGCATTCCCAGTGCTCGCGTTAACCCTAACGATGAATGAAAGAAAACAAACAAAGAATTTAATCACCATTTTGCTGTATTTCAGACGTAGAATAATAGATGAGAGGAGAATCATATTATTTTACCCATCCGCAATTTTGCAAAGGTATTCTCGTTGATCATCTCTTAGAGGAACATCAGTGAAGTCTAAATCCAATTCAAAGAAAAAAGTATCAAACTTTTATGTGAAGCTCAAAAGGTAATATATAAAGAAAGAGATGTGGTTCTTATAGTTTAGAGTGATAATGCAAAAGCCTTCTTCTCTTTTACCTGCGCCTGTAATATTTGATCCCTTGAATGATGTGTTTCCTGTAGCAGTCGCTCCTTCCAAGTTCGCGTTCGTTAAATTCACCTGCAAATATATGTCAAAGATCTTTCTTTTTAGTTTTCCTTATCTTAACACACATACAGTATATGGACACACACACACACACAGATATAACATCAAATATGAGTATGACCTTTGTTACGTTTGCCAAGGAGAAATCTGCACCTCGAAGATCAGCTTCGGATAAATCAGCACCTGGATAAGAGTTTTAGCCATCCATGAATCAGAAAGTCTTCTCTATTACAGTTCTTTTTGCTACTTCCAACGAAGAAAAGAGAAACAAACCTGTTAAATCTGCATCAAAGAAGCTAGCACCTAACAACTTCGCACCCTTGAAGTTGGCTTGCCTTAGGATGGACTGCACGAAACAAAAATGTCATCAAAGAGAGGATGATTAAACGAAAGAAACGGTGTTCATGATGATCTATAACATTTGATGATTGGATAGTAAAAAGGGGAATCATACCGTTTTGAAGTCTTGTCTGATCAGAGTCTGGCCACTGAAATCTTTGCCAGATAAGTCTTGTCCTCTGGTGACTCCTTGTCCATAGGGACCTCCACCCTTTTAGTTTCATCCAAATCCAGAAGTAGGTTGAACTTTTTATTTCTTTCTAAACAACACTTTATGATATTTACAGCTATATAATTCCAAGTGAAGGTAAACAAACACATATCTGAAGCACAAGCAGATTCAAATTAGATCACAAATGGAGTTGCTTCCACTATAGAACATAGTTAAGAAGCACCTTTTTTTCAGTTTATGTTTATTGCTTTAAAGACATCAAATCAATTAAAGAATAGACGCAATTTAGGTCACAAAAGGAGATGATTCCACTATAAAACATAGTTAAGAATCACCTTTTTTGGTTTGAGTTATTGCTACAAAGACATCAAATAAATTTTAACACTCAACATAGTACAATAGAAACACAAGCAGATTCAAATTAGATCACAAAAGGAGTTGCTTCCACCATAGAACATAGTTAAGAAACACCTTTTTTTTTTTTCAGTTTGAGTTTATTGCTTTAAAGACATCAAATCAATTAAAGGATAGACGCAAATTAGGTCACAAAAGGAGATGATTCCACTATAGATCATAGTTAAGAACAACCTTTTTTGGTTTGAGTTATTACTACAAAGACACCAAATAAATTTTTACACTCAACATAGTATATAAATTTCAGCTTCGACCATATTTAGTATCGGTTTCACCAATATAAAATGTCTAATCTTTACACCCTAAGAAAAGGCCTAACCTTTACACTCAATCAACGGTTTCAGACCAAAGTTTAGATTGGATTATTTCAGACCAAAGTATATTTCAACTCATACATCGTTTCTTAAACTAAGCCAGAGCATACTCACTGGTTTAGACCAGTCTTGACAGTCAAAGATAGATGATAATTGAGAAACTTCCATCATCTATATTTGTTAATTCCCGCTCTATGGTGATCTAATCAACACTTGTCTTGGCATAAAAATCCAAGCTTTTATACCCAAAATCTTAAAATTTTCTTAAATGTCACTGTCAAATTTCAAAATGAATATGATGCTTACACTTTAATAGGAGAAGAAAGGAAAAAACAATTTACCTTAAAAGCAAGAGCAGGATCAACAAAGAAGATAGAAGCAGAGACGAGTGCAAGTAGACTTCTCTTTGAAATCTCTTCTCCTAATGACCAAACCACACTTCCCAGAGGTCTAATCTCTTCTTTTCCTTCCTGCTCAAACAGAAAAATCGCATTAAAAAAAAAAAAAAAGGAATCTCCTTTTTCTTATGGGTTTCAATTCAACACTGAGTTACAGAGGTTAGATAGAAAAATGGAGATTACCTGTGAGCAGCGAATGAGACAATGAGAACGAGAAGACGGATAATAATGGAGAGAAGAGAGAGATGGTTTTAGAGAGATGTTGCTGCAGAGAAACGAGACGTTGCTGAGAATTACCATTTTCTTTTCTTTTTTCGGTTTTTCTCTTCTTCTTCACGAATCAATGAGTCTGTTTCAGTGGATAAGCCAAAAAGACTGATGCTTGTGGATAAACTTTTGTCACTTATTATTACATAGAGAAAGGCCATACTTTACTTGGGCCAAAAAAAGGCCCAATATATATTGTTGGGTATCAACCCATATACCACTTTTGCAGCTGATACAGTACTAACATAAAATATAATGTGCAAGTGCTAGATTGGATTCGAACCGGGTCCTCTTATCTAAATCCATCTGATTATTAAGCTACAAATTAAAAAAATCTTTTTACTAAATAAATTGGATTCTGCATCAAATTAGTGAGAACTAGTGTGCGTTTTTCCCAACAAATCTAATTTTGAGAATAGAGCGAGATCACGTGCAAGTCACATGGATAACAGGACAACCCAAACATCCACGAAAACGCAAGGATTCGAGGTTTTTTGATCATCATCATCATCATAACATCATGAGAGGAGCTTTTAAAGTGAAGGGCATTAATGTAATTTCATGTGTCATCAAATGATTGGTGTCCGGTGAGAGAGAGACAATGAGACACGCGCGAGGTGGTGAGAAAGTGGGGACAGTGTCTCCCTTCTATTATTTCCCTTGTGAGGTTGACACGTGGACACTCCTTCACGTGAAACTCTGGCGTTTTTTTTTTTTAATTCCGTAAGTTCCAATTCCATTGAAGTATATACTTTTCTCTTCACCCATGTCTTTACACACATCTTAGTCACGTGGCCCTCACTCGCCTTGTCTCCTTTCTAACTTTTTTTGAATCTTGATACTTTCTGTTTTTTTTTGGATTTTGATTTCGTAAAGATTGGTTACAAGTTACAATAGAAAATCGACGAGAAAAAACTTTTTTCCGTAACTTTAATCGACTCCGTTTAACTTAAATTATTCATTATTTTGGGATGAGATACGCTTACTTTTTACACTGCAAACAAAGCGTACTGGAAAAAGATTGTGCAACCATGTACTGTTGTTTTCTTGTAGTTCCGTTCAATTTACTTCGTATAACTTGTAATCTTTCAAACATGTCAAGATATGTTTTCTAAGATTTTTCTGTTTGTACTTATATATATTGTCAGGAACTTTTCACGTTTAATAAAATCATCAAATACTTGGTTATATGAATTCGAAGGAAGTTCATGTTCTCTAAAAGTATCAGAACGTAACTAAGAGATTCGTCAGTGATCTCCTGGCTTATAAGTAATATATATACCACGGATAATTAATATGTATGTTTTTCCTCTTTTTTTTAGTTATCTAATTTCTGCATGTGAACAGCTGTATTCTATGATCTTTACTCATGTACAGCGTAGCAATATGTTTTTCTTCTTCTTTCCAAAGCGTATATGTTTTCTAATATTCTCTTTATCGCTTAATTAAATTTACTCTATACAATTGCACGGATAATAAATATAAAAAACTAATGGAGTAAAAATCAATTAAAAATCTTAGATCGGACCAAAATAAGTGACGGGATTCACACGTGGACATGTGTAATGATTAAGATTTTGAGCAAGTTGTTAGATACGTCGTCAATACAATCATGTGGTACGTGAAAATAATTACTTTGTAATGATTAAATTCGATAGCCAACAATTATTGATGAATGGGCACTTTTGATTAAATTCGATAGCCAACAACTACAGTGCTACTGGTACGTACGATAGTTGAAAGATACTTTTTTGTTGACGTCATTGGTGGTGAATGATTTATTCTGTTCATATAAAATTTTGGTGAGAAACCGATTATAATTTTTTTCTTTTACTTACAATTATGTCAGAAAGTCATTATGTTGAAGTGGACAAAAATAAACGCACACGCGTATATAATCATGTGCCTGGAGATTAAGAATGATACACTCTAATAGACGTTCAATGAAACTAAATAATATATATCGAGAAGGTGATAAAATGTCAGCTCAAACCGAATCTAGGAAAATGAGAGAACACATGCAATGGTAGAGCTTTGCACATGGATATGGACACACACGTGGGGCCAGAATTATGTATCGTTTTTTTTAATGCATAAAGATGTGATCAAAATTATGGAACTCATATATATAAACTCATGTTTAAGTAGTTCAAGCATATTATAGATAATTAAACAATTATTATATATTCATGCACGATTACGTCAAAAACTAGTGATTGGTGAAACATGTGCTTGGTTTGCTTTGGTCTGTTCTCATCGGATCCTGTTACTATTTTCTTAGCTGTTTCTTACCAAAATCATATGAATATTTAATTTCCTCCAACGCCAGATTGTTAAAACAAATTAATCTGTTTAATTAAGTAAATATGCATATATATATATAATTCAAATCATAAACTATACTTATGAAATAGTCAACAATCTCTTTTTATGTTTTACAAAAAAAAAAAGTATCATTTTTACATTCTTGAATATAATGGTTTATTATATCCAGTTTATTACTTGATGATATTAATGAAACGTAGTCGAGAGAGCTAGCGCGTGGAGATACTAGAGAGATGAGAGAGAGATTCGTATCCAATGATTAAAAGAAAAGTGGATGTCTGGTCGTGGAGGAACAAAAATTACGCCGCACGAGTGCAGTCACCGGGGACCACGTGCTCATGCACGTGAACTCCTTCCCATCTCCCACGTGACCTCTACTTCTTTCATATTCTTGCTTCTGCATTCCAAAAACTCCACACTCATGAGAAACAGATTTAATATATACCACGAACGGTAACGGATTAGTTTAATTTGAGTTTCATTGTGAGCTATATATTGCGACTTGCGACATGTCAGCCTTTAAAACTTGCAACTTTTTTTCTCAACAATTTTCGTTATACAAGAATAAGCCGTGATCAAGCATCAACAACACGAATTCAAACTATTCATTATATTATATTTAAAATCGCGATTGGTGAAACAAATGCATAGTAGAATCGGTTAGTCTTATTTAGGACTCAATACTATCAACCAAACAAGCTTAAACAGAATCACCAATTATATAAAAGTAATTTATCGGAAAAGGTTTCTTTACAGGTCAAAGCAAGAGTTTGAAACCAATAAATAAAGCAAGACCATATTAATTGAAGATATCGAAAAGTCAAATACAATTCCATTAACAATAAGAATAAACTGGAAAGTAAACATACATTAAATTTGTGGTTGGAAGAATCGAACGTTATTTTGAACTTAAAAACTAATTAAATAAAACCCGACCTGTCTTGTCTATGACTTTCAAAGAAACTGAAGCAGCAATAATGATGACATTATCAACAACTTGGAAAACGAGTAAAAAAGAAAAATTAAACAAAAATTATTGTCTCAATGACACAGGGGAAGTAGCCGTAAACTCTATACCACCCCTAGTCTTTTCCAAATATCCGTTTTATATTTGACTGAACCAAAACAGATTATCAATGGGATTAATACTTGAATTTAGCTTTTATTTTAGATGACCAAAAAACTACTACTAGAGTCAGAGGAGAGTTTTCGAAAAAGGGCATAATAAATGAATTGAAGATACGTATAGAGAGAGAATCGAATGCATGTTGGGTTCATAGGTAACTCTAATTAACCCCCAGGCAGTGTTAGCATCTCTGTAACCTATCAAGTACGACATCGTTCTCTGACTCCCATACCCATTTCGAGCCCAACGCCACTCTCCACGCGAGTGTACTTCACGTTCAACCGTATTTCACCCATTACACTTGCATGCACGAGTATTTTCTATGAAGCGTGTGCATATCACTTCCCAAGACCAATGCATAACCCGAAACATTAAATTAGTTAAACTAATCCTACTTAAATATCTTCCAATTAGTCAAGAAAATAAGTATCAAATTTGGAGGGTAGAAATTCAACTGATATTACAAAGCATTGTGTATCTAAAATCGTGAGACAAACATAATAGTCAAACACGAACAAACAGAAAAACTGATATCTTAGGTGTTACAATGTAAACGTTTGTTATTGACTTTTTATGAAGAAAATGAACAAAAATTAATTTCTCAAAAGCTCAACGTATTGGAGTTAAATGTGTATTTTTATTTTCTATTAAAGTAAAAATAAAAGAAAAATGATGAGCAGGTAACAGTATAAATCATCATTGAAATGACAAGGGTCTCTCTGACACAAGTCATCATTGATACCCCAAGCCCCCACATAACCCTTCCTCTCAGTCTCTCTCTCTTTACATATCAAAGTTTTAAATATATAGTATAAACCAACACTACTTCACTATTTTTCTAGAAAGTCTTGAAAACGAAAGAAAAAAAGGAAAATTTCTTTTGACGAAATGGGTGAAAGAGATGATGGGTTGGGTCTGAGTCTAAGCTTGGGATTTAGTCAGCAAAAGGAACCATCTCTGAGGTTGAATCCAATGACTTTCACATCTTCTTCTTCGTTTCTTCACATGCGCAATCACAATAATAGCAATCTCCAGAAGAACATCCATCACATCTCTTGGCCTCATCTGTTTCAATCTTCTGGTAAAATTGTTGTTTTCTCTTTCTATTTATTTATTTTTTTTTCCAAATTTTACTTCCCTGAGTTTTTCTTACATTTGATGTGTGGGAGAATTCCGTTTCTGAACAAATTATGATTACGTTTCTTTGACGATGTCGCTGTAATTTTCAGATGGTAATACTACATATCTATATATCAAAATATGTATCTGTATGTTTCAGATCCGATCTTATTTATGTTTTTTTTTTTAATAGATACTATAACTAAAGTTGATATGCTTTCAATTATCTAATGGAGCTACACGTATAAATGCAGAGAGAAACTCCGACGCCAGATCTTTTCTAAGAGGTTTCGACGTAAACAGAGCTCCGTCTGCAGTGGCGGTGGCGTTGGCTGACTTAGATGAAAACGCCGCCGGCGTGTCATCGCCGAACAGCACCGTCTCGAGTGTGAGTGGGAACAAGAGAGATCTTGCGGCGGCGAGAGTAGGAGGAGATGAGAACGAGGCGGAAAGAGCTTCTTGCTCCCACGGCGGCGGAAGCGGTGGAAGCGACGATGAAGACTGTGGAAACGGCGACGGTTCGAGGAAGAAACTCCGGTTATCGAAGGAACAAGCTCTGGTTCTCGAAGATACTTTCAAAGAACATACCACTCTAAATCCGGTTAGTGGCATTTTCGTAATACTTATCCCTTTTATATGGTGTTTTCGTAGTCTATCGTTGAAAACTAAATTGCGTTGTTATCTTATTTTCGAATCATCGGATTGGGCAGAAACAAAAGCTGGCCCTAGCGAAACAGTTGAATCTGAGGACAAGGCAAGTCGAAGTGTGGTTCCAAAACCGAAGGGCAAGGTAAAGAAATTCCTCGTTATCTCTAGGGGTGTTAACGGAAATATATAGTGCCAGAACCTTAGTAATTGCTATGATGGGGATATAATTGTTCTTTTTATGGCCCGAAAAGATTTCATTTCCCTATCCTAAAAGAAAATCCTATTAGGATCTTCTGCATCTGTTCTGTCACATGGAGTTTTTACTTTTTTACTACAGCCTTAAAGATTGTGATCAGAGTTCAGGGACGCATGCGAATATATTAAAAGAAAATTTTATCTAATCCTGTTTTTGTTTGTTTGTTTGTTATTTTCTCTATTTCAATTATAAGTATTTTGCTGTTTAAAAACAAGTGACAATGTAGTATATATTTAGTTTATTTGTTTTAATTCGTCAAGGTGACATCCTTTTTTAAAACAAGAACTGTCGATGAAATGGAAGAAGTGTTAATAAAGATGATGTTGGACTTGAAATCACATTTCAGGACGAAGCTGAAACAAACGGAGGTTGATTGTGAGTATTTGAAGAGATGCTGCGAGAATCTAACGGAGGAGAATCGACGGTTGCATAAGGAAGTATCTGAGCTCAGGGCGTTGAAGCTGTCTCCACATCTCTACATGCACATGACTCCTCCAACCACTCTTACCATGTGTCCTTCTTGCGAACGTGTCTCGGCTTCCTCCTCCTCCTCCGTCGCAGGTGCTGCTCCTCTTCCTCCTCTGTCCTCTACCTCCGCCGCATCTGGTGGTGGTGGGCGGATTCCTGCGGTGGTGGGACGTCCAAGTCCACAACGACCAACTCCCTGGGCAGCTATTTCTCTCCAGTCAAGATTAGCGTAGTTTTAGTTAGTATAAATATATTTATAAAGATTGAATTAAATTAGTTATTTGAATCACTTGAAGCTTGTATGCGAGATTAATTTCACTTAACTAGACATGAAAAAGACGCCATCTGGATCTTAAGCTCTTAGTACACTGTAAATAGTTTATTTGACAAACTGCAAAACAGCAACGAGCTGGTTATAGAGTTGATGTCCTTTAAATTCCAATTTTTATTTCTTTCTGTGATATTACGGACGTCCGTAGGGAATAACATTTGTCTCGATGGATAGTTAAGAAACTTAAAGATTTAAACATGTACAAATCCCAAATGAAACAATGTAATTTGAAAAAGTTGTTTAGCTTTTACCTTAGACGTTTCATAAGCTGCTAAATATAGTTTGTGTACTATAGTGGACCTGCGTAAGTACGGGGCCTTTTTCAATGTGAACCACTTGATAAAAGAACAAAACATAAAGCCATCAAATATTTTTGTATAATCAGAAAAAGTGTGTCTAATCGATATAAAACTATTTTTTCTGAGATATATATATAAAAAAAAACAATGTGATTTTGAGAATTAAGAAAGAAAACAATAGAAATATGCAAAAAAATAGAAGTGTAACGTACCTATTTGGTACCTAAGTTTTTAGCTTGGCCTAACAGCCTAATCAACTGAGGTATGGACTTCCTTATTCAGTTATGCGTTCCACCATTTTCATTAGAGAACATCAATCATGGATGTATAAAGAAAGCGTTGCGAAAAAGTTACTAAAATGTTGTAAATATAGTATTCAATCATGTATTTCACTTTACGATAATTTTATTGGGAAACACCCATAACTTATAATGGTTAAATCATAAATGTTTGTTGCAAAATTTGTAAGAAATATTTTCATGTTGTTAGAAAGTTGCAATTTGGTAACCAAACTTCTTATATAAGGTAGCAAAGGAAAGAAAAAAAGGCAGCAACGAGATATTCAAAATTTTGTTGCATTATAAGGCGAAGATTACACACTAGTTATCTGAGCTTCCTTGCAATATCTCATTCGAACAAAAGCTGAGATGTTGTAGGAATATCTTTCAGTTTCTCCATCATCATGTGCTGCTCTTCAAGACTCAAGGTTGGTGTCAAGGAGATTTTTGTGGTCTTTAAACACTTAGCGTTGGCCAGAATGTATGTCAAGAATTTCTTCTCTTCTTGTCTTCCTCCATATTCGTGCCACGTAAAATTGTCGAGATTTGAGGACAGACATTCAGGAATAGAACTCGGTTGGTTCCATGAAGGTGGGAGATCATTGCCTCTATATCTCTACATATGAAGAAAGGGATCGGGTATATATTAAACACAACTTAACGATTTTTGAGCCATCAAAAGTAGAAGAGGAGGAAGATACTACTTACACAATGAAGATTTTTAACTTTGGGAGAATTTCTTAGCAAACCCATAAGCTGTTCCATCCAATCTGAGTATCTTGGTTCTATGCTTAGCTTTGTAAGGCGAGGGAAGTAGATGGCGCTAAAACACACAAGTTGCGATGAAAGAAAGTCAAGAGACCGGACTGAAGAGATTGATTTTAAAAATCTTTCATCAGGTTGATAATGAGTAAGGATACTTGCATAATGAAGACAAGGCATCCTGTCGATTGAGCAATGATCTGTGGAACCATCAATGATACTGAGCTTCACTAACGCCGGAGTATCAGCAACCAAGCACCTACCAGTGCCTCCTACATAAACATCGTGATAGCATAACTGACACAAAGAAGGAACTTTCACAGTAATCTTTTTCACATTGTCATCCTTTTTCCGTATCACGACCAGGATCCTGAGATTAGGGCAGCTCGATAGAAACCTAAGGATAGAATCTTCGTCTTTATACACCACAAAGAAAAGCTGGAGAAATCTCAGGGACCGGAGGCAAGAAGAAGAAGAAGAAGAAGAAGAAGGGAAATCCACGAGAATCTTGTGGGAGAGAGTTAGTTCCTGGAGGGTTTCGCAGGTGTAAAAGCTTTCGGGCAATCTGGTTGGACCGGCAGACCAGAGAAGCTTAAATATCAGTACAGTCACGCGGCGATCAACAGCGGTTTCAACCCACTTTCCGACATCGACATCAGTAGGACATTGTGGACCGAGTTCGATGCACAAACTGTCTAATACAGGTGCCTTGTGGAGTTGCAAGGATTTGTCAAGAAACCGCCAAACACTCTTTTTGCTTTTTTTCCCATCCTGCTCATGATCATCATCATAATCATAATCACTACCAGCATCGCTGTCTTGGTAGGCAAGTTTAAGTTTCATCGTCCAAATAGACTGCCATCTTTTCGATAGAAACATGGTGGCCACTGCGTCCTTTGTCGGGACACGATCCAGTATCGTTACCAACAAATCATCGGGCAACTCACTAATCCTGTCTTCGCAAACTGTCTCTTCACAACTTTTGGCTTCTATCATCTTCACGAGGCAAAACCCTAAACCCTAGGAGAATGATTTGGGGTCCGAGAGCAACAACACAAAAGGAAACCTAAAAGGTCTCTTTACCTATTGTATCATTATGTATAATATAACTTCAACAAATTTTACTTTTTTCGTTGCGGAATATTCGCGTGGATACAAAAAATCTCCCACGTTACTTGCTAAGTCTCGGTGCGGAGCGGATATCCGGAAAATTTTGAGTATTTGTGGTTTGCTCCGTTTTTACTGGATATCTGATTTTGTGATTTGCTTTGCTTCGAAAAAATACAGATATCCGGAAATGCGGATATCCGGAAAATTTACAAATATTTGCGGATATTTACGGATACTTATGGATATTAAATTTATTCCATTCAATATAAGTAAAAAGTGAAAATACATGTCTTTCTTTTTAAAATATGAACTACCAATTAAAAATAAGTGAAATAACTATTTTTATTTCAAAAAAATGGATATAAATAATAAATTATAATGATAAAAAAATAAAAACCATGTTTTATATTCTGAAAAGAATATTAATTAATTAAAACTCTAATATAAACTTTTCTAATTGAATTTCAAATTTTTGATAACTATTGTAGATGTTTATTACTTACTTTAAAATTATTATATGTATTTTATCATATATATTCTTTTTTATTTGTTAATAAGATAATTAAACTATATAAAAATATTAAAAATTTATAATATTAATATGTATATATGTAATCTGCAGATCGGAGCGGATATCCAAACTTTCAAAAATTAGTATTTACGATTCGATTTGTTTTAAACGGATATTATATTTTAATATTTGCTTTGCTTCGAAAACGTTACGGATATGCCCACCCCTATTACTCGCTAAGAAATTATAATAACCTCAGAGAAAACGAAACTATAATAACCTTGGCAGGATGATCAATCTTGCTTGGCAGGATCAATATTTTTTTTTAAAAAAATTAATCACATATTAAGTTAAGTAACATCAATATTGGGAAACCGAAGCAGAGCAGAGAATAAAATTTTACAAAAGGAACTAATGTGTCTGCCTTAACATTAAAGCAGCGGAAAAAAAAAAATCAATAAAACAGAGAAAACAGAGAGACGAGCCTAAAGCTCACCAAGCTGGTCCATTTGCTTTGGAGAATGAATTCACAATCTATAGTAGTTCTCAACAGTTTGTTCGAAGGTCGCATTATATAGTTCCAGTTACAGAACAATCAATTTTCGTAACAAGCAGTAGGGAAACAAGAACACGAGTAACTTTCAGACAAATTTCTCCGCCTTTTCGTTTATATAAGAAGCAAATTGTAACTACACGTGTTCTTACAAAGCTGGAAAAAAACTAGATAAAGGACATGAAAAAGGGAGTGTTGATCCTATAACTTAGGAATCAAGACTCCTTTATCTTGCTGAGACAAAAGAAAGATGGCGACGAATCTTGTCCTCAAGGTTCAGCTCGCTTTGATCATTTGAATTTAGACAAATCTTTAGATACCCATTCTCACGCCAAAGATGAAGTTTTAGATTTTGAAACCTATCTCGTGCCTTGTCCTCTTCTTTATTCTAGACAATCGTTTCCATTTGATGAGTGTTTTATGGAGAAGTTGTGGTTTCCCACCACTCTCAAAGTCAAAAATAAGACGCTTGAAAGGGAGCTTACGGATCAACAACTCTGTCAAGAAACATTTCTGGTGGCTATGACAGAATCAATGGTCTCGTGTTTTCTCCGGGACTGTGTCAAGAGCCTTGACACTTAACTTCTTTCCACTGGAGTTGCTGGAAATTACAATGGTGCTTTGCGAGTGATATGTTTTCCAATGGTGCTTTGGTTACTTGCTTCTCAAGAAACTACACCCTGAATGTGTTTTTTGTTTTGTTTTTCCTTCTCTCCTGGTACGTGAAGATGACAGCTGAGTTTCAAGTTCCGTCGCCGCTAGTCCGAGAACTACTTTGTGAGATATGGTAAACAGCACAGCGACGGTTCTTGGGTGGTGGTTGATGTCTCTTTGGACAGCCTGAGACCGAGTCCGATCTCAAAGAACAGAAGAATTGGCCTCTAGGGTTGTTTGATCTAAGAATTGCCTAATGACTTATTCTAAGGTATAGTCGTAACTAGTAAGATATTGTATACAGCGTATTTATGAAGTTTAGGGTGCAAATTTGAATTTATACAATTTATGGGGGGCTATGGGGTGATTATTTTGTTGTGCTGATAGGGGACGGAGGCAAGGTATAAACAAATTTTATGGTGGAATATAAGATAGATTTGATTTTGACGTGGGGAACATTAGATATTTGGTCAGTAGTTTATTTAATAATTAACAATAGAGAAAGATTGTCTCGACATACAAACACAAGGATTTCAAAATGCGGCGACTAGAGATAATCTGTACGTTACTATGTCACATACGAATAGTATATGTATCCTGACTCAGTATGAAATCATATCCCTATAATATTTTTATAAAAACATAAGACTTTTTTCTAGCTGCTAAAACATAAGATGATTTATATTGTTCAATATCGTGTGGAGGAGTGACGTAGTATGTGTAAAAGATAAGATGATTAATGTGTTTATAAAATTATAGTAGGGATAGTATCCGTATGTGACATATCTAGAGTAACGTACAGATTATTATTATTATTATTAGTTATCTATATCATGGTACAAATAAAATGAGCGAATAGTATCAAGTTTAATTGGTAGAATCGAATTTAACCAAATGGTTAGTTGCTACTGGTTAATATCGTTTAGACACGGTTATTATATGTAAATCGAATATTAAGTATTGAGTTTTCGATTGTTTGCTAAACCAATGAACACAACAAAATTATTTATCAAATAGTTTTTCTCAATTTTACGATTCAAGAGTTCATGGACTTATCCGGAAACATAACCGGAGAATTTTTAAAAGCGTATGCAATAGGTCTATTATATATGATGCATTTGGTATCGAAATTGAACGCAAGTAAAAGACTGAGAATATCACACAGACACTGAGGAAAAAAGCAATAAAAAAAAAAAAAAAGGTAAGGATTAACATGAGACTGAGCTTTTCGGCGGGAGCTTCGTGTCATCAGAGTCTGCTCTTATCACCTGGTAACGAAGCAAAATACGCATATGTCAATTTCAGCATTATAGCTTAAGTGGAAAAACATACAGTGTATTCATCGATAACTTACAGCAGATAAGAGTAGCAAATCCTTTTACCAGCCTTTTGGTTTTGGCTCCTGAGCAAATTTGCCACCCGAATTCTTGGTGCGGCCTAATATGTTTTTGAGATGAGCGTTCCTCGTCTTCCTTGAACTTTTGATCCCTTTCAATTTGAATTTCCCTCTGAGCTTGGAAAACAGCCACACCTCTCTGACTTAGTCCCTCAATTGCCTCTCTCGGCGGCTAACCTCTCGATCTCGTCTGCTTCTGCTTGGAGCCTCCTCCGTTCTTCTTCTGCTGCAGCATCGGCCTCCGCCTTAGCCCTCTTTGCATCCTTCTTTGCAATAGCGGCACGTTTCTTCTCCATCTGACTCCTTGCGATACGGAGGAGAGAGTCCATCTTCTCCTTTGCTGCCTCCACATCAATGTTGCCGGCGACGAGAGTTCCTATGAACTCGTTCATAAATCTGCAGATTTAAACAGTCAACTCAGATCTGTTACGATTCTTATATATATATAAAATATGGAAATCTATGTTGCAGACGACGAGAGTGTCAGATCGTTGGTTCTAAATTTCAACTAATAAGCTATTACGTCAGGGAAGATTATCTCTATACCTCAGAAATTTGAATAACGAACAAAAATCAGAGAGAAGGAGGGATTACTCGGGAGGAAACTCAGGGTTGTTCCTTCGTTCTTCGGCAAACAGATGCAAATCAGCTTCAGCTTCTCCTTCGATGGCGCTAAACTCACTCCAGAATTGTTTCACAGCCTCGGTGAGAGGAGTCCATGGATAAGCAGAGCCTGCCATTGTAGGAGAGAATTTGAATTCAGAGAGAAATTTGAAAGAATTTGAATTCAGAGAGAAAATTTGAAATTTGAAAAATCAAGAGGAAATGGGAATGAAGTTTTGAGAGAAACACTCACCAGTATATATAATGGTACACACAAATCCGCATCTCAATATAATAAAACCCGCACCCGCACCCACCCCACGGCGGGTCAGGACCCGCGGATTATGAACTATACTGACCTTGAAACCACACGTGGATAGTTGGAGCAGAGAAGGGTTGGAGAGAGAATGGAGCGAAGCGAAGGGTAAGACACTGATTGAATCGCCTAAGGTGGTGGTTTAAACCAAAGGTAGCTTCTCGGAACGGGAGAATGAAGCGAAGCTAAGTGTGTGGAAAAAGATCTGACTGAATTGCCAATTACGTCGGCGGTGGCTTAAACCCAAAGATTGCAACTTTATAGAGGATGAAGCGAATGAAGAGAGTCGCCACCGCGAACGCTGGCGGATGAAAAGGTACCGGAAGCATCTCGAATGTCATTGATCAGATCTGGTCGAGAGAGAGAGAAAATTTAATGGCTCTCTTAACCTTTCTGTGGTCAACTCTGAAAGGAAACCCTAGTTGTAGGCGAAGCAACTCTCAGCTGGGCTTATGGGCTTTTTGACTTGTCAAAAACATTCTTACTCGTTTAGCCCATTTATCATCCAAATGCTGTATGGATTGGTGGTAATATATTATCACGTACCGGTTAACCTCTTCTCTTCTTTTCAGGTTAAGATCGGTTTACTCATCATATCTGTCTTCTTCTATGCCTACTCAACCTCCCGGTCAAAACCGGTTTACCTCGCCATGTCACCAATGACCAACCCCACTGATTCTTGCAAAATCTCATCCGAAACGTTCTTCAACATGGCCAAAGGCGATCAACCCACGTTGCATGTTAAGCTCCCCACCAACACCATCAATGCTCGAGGCGAGGCACGAAGCCGAATTAGTCATCTTCCCAGCTCTTAACTCACTGTTCAAGAAAACCGGAGTCCAACCGAGAGAAATTGGAATCTTCATTGTAACAAAAAAAAACTGTAGCTTGTTTAACCCTAACCCATCTCTCTCGTCCATGATCGTAAACCCGGTACAAGCTCAAAACCGACGTCAAAACCTACAATCTCTCCGGTATAGGATGCAGCGCCGGCGCGACAAGAACACGAGTAATTTTCAAACATATTTCTCCGCCATTTCGTTTTCGTATATATAAGAAACAAATTGAAACTACACTTTCTTACAAACACAAAAAAAAAAAAATATATATATATATATATATATAAACTGTTTTTTTTTGTTTTATTCAAAACCATATTTGTAGTGACCGAAGAAAATGAGAAAATAATCGAAACTTAAATCGATGTTTTGTTTCTTTTCTTTTTTTCGCATACAGAATCTATCTATCTATTTTCTCACCAAGTTATGAAGAGAATAATAAAATATCCCGTCAACTTTTTTGTTGTTGTTGTTGTAATATATAGTAAGAGCATATGAATAAATATGATATTAGTACTAAAGTGAACACCCGGGAAAAAAAATATACATAGTAACTTTGAGATGGCACGACAAAACAATTTGCAAACTACAAAGAAGTTATTAGACGGATATTTCAGAAAAATATGCAGAGAAAACCAAAGTGTAATAAAAAAAAGAGTAAAATACGAATTAGAGATGTACATATGTACCGTGCAAGGAGGTGATTTCATATTCTCTCCATCATATATATTCTCCCATATGTGAGATGAGCTGTGCTTCTTCATCACACGAAGCCCTCTTCTCTTCTCTCAAAGCCCCGACCCGGAATTTAGCAATTTCCTCTTCTTCAATTCTCCTTTTTTTTCCCGGGAGCGAGAGAGTGAGAGAGACGACAGAGTTGAGAGCGCGGCTTTGGTTTTCGGGTTTCGCCTGAACTCTCTCTCCGACCATCACTCTCTCTTCCTCTCTATCCTCACTTTGAAATTCCCATTGATCCTCTCTCATTGTGAGTTTAATGTCAATGCAGATTTGTTAATTAAAGGCCAATGATTTTGTTCCTCTTTTTCTATTCGAGGGTTTTTGCGTCGAGCTCTTGAAATTCGTTTTTTTTTATTATCTAATCACATCGTGTAAAGCGTCCTTGATTCGATGTAGTAACTGGGTTTTGAAAAAAAAGTCTTCAGAGCCATCCTGAATTTGCCAGAATCGGGACTTCTCTGCCAAAAGGTTTGGACTTTTTTTTGTGATTACGCCCTTTTTAAGGAATTCGTGATCAGTTTTCGAGATATATATCTATAAGAAGCAAAGTTTCGATTTTTCTCTCGTTAGAGTTATCAATGAGTCGTAGGGTACGGAGAAAATTGGAGGAGAAAGGGAAAGATAAGATTGTTTTGCCAAGTTATCCTGAGACTAGCAACGAGGATTCAGTAGCTCCCGAGCTTCATTGCTTTGTTGGCTGGACTAGTTTGCCTTATGACACGGTGCTTCAGTTGTTTACTTGTTTGAACTATCGTGATCGAGCCAGCTTGGCATCCACTTGCAAGACATGGAGAGCTCTTGGTGCTTCCTCTTGCCTCTGGAGCTCATTGGATCTTCGTGCTCACAAGTTTGATGCTTCAATGGCGTCTTCTCTTGCTTCTAGGTGTGTTGATCTTCGTAGCCTTCGGTTTCGTGGCGTCGAGTCTGCTGATTCCATTATAAACCTCAGAGCAAGGAACCTCCTTGAAGTCAGCGGCGACTACTGCAGGAAGATTACAGATGCTACATTGTCGATGGTCGTGGCGCGCCACGAGGCACTCGAGAGTCTCCAACTTGGACCTGACTTTTGTGAGAAGATCACTAGTGATGCTATCAAAGCTGTGGCCTTTTGCTGTCCAAAGCTTAAAAAGCTTCGTCTTTCAGGGATAAGAGATGTTACTTCTGAAGCCATTGAGGCTCTGGCCAAGCATTGTCCACAGCTCACCGATCTCGGGTTCTTGGATTGTTTAAACATCGACGAGGATGCATTGGGGAAAGTCGTATCTGTTCGATATCTCTCTGTTGCTGGGACATCGAACATAAAATGGTCAGTTGCATCGAATAGATGGGATAAGCTTCCGAAGTTAACCGGTTTGGATGTCTCTAGGACCGACATTGGTCCCACCGCAGTTTCTAGGCTCTTGATATCGTCGCAGAGCTTGAAAGTTTTGTGTGCTTTAAACTGTCATGTCCTCGAAGAGGATACAAGTTTCATCAGCTCCAATAGATTCAGAGGAAAAGTCTTACTCGCTTTGTTTACTAATGTTTTCGATGGAGTCGCTTCTATATTCGCCGACAATGCAAAGAAACCAAAGGATGTATTTTCCTACTGGAGAGAGTTGATGGTGAAAACCAAAGATAAAGCCCTTGATGACATGATGCGATGGATCGAATGGATTATTTCTCATACGCTTCTACGTGCTGCAGAGAGCAATCCACAGGGAATGGATGATTTCTGGCTGAAACAAGGAGCTGCATTGTTACTCACTTTGATGCAAAGCTCACAGGAAGATGTTCAAGAGAGATCAGCTACTGGACTTGCAACTTTTGTAGTTGTGGATGATGAGAATGCTAGCATAGACTGTGGAAGAGCTGAAGCAGTTATGAAAGATGGAGGGATCCGTCTTCTTCTAGAACTTGCGAGATCATGGCGAGAAGGGCTTCAGTCAGAAGCTGCAAAGGTTCCTCATCTTCATCTTCTCAAATTGAAGTTTTGATTCTTTTGGCAGGATACACTTATATTGTTCTCTTTCGGGTTTTTTCTTTTAGGCTATTGCGAATTTGTCGGTAAATGCTAATGTTGCAAAGTCTGTTGCTGAAGAAGGAGGAATCAGAATTCTTGCTGGTTTGGCAAAGTCAATGAACAGACTTGTGGCTGAGGAAGCTGCTGGTGGACTATGGAATCTCTCTGTCGGAGAAGAGCATAAGGTATGTCCTCTAATTATCTCTAAGATTCTTGTTATTCTTAGCTCTTGATTCTTCAGCTCACATTCGTCCCTTTTTTGGATTTTCTTTTTCTTATAGAATGCTATTGCTCAGGCTGGAGGAGTGAAGGCACTAGTCGATCTTATATTTAGATGGCAAAATGGTTGTGATGGAGTCTTGGTACACTTTTGTCACCTTAAAGCTTCAGCCTTTTTATTTCATTTCTAGAGATAAAATCATGATAAACACTTTTGCAGAGAAGTTATAGTAATTTGACCTTAACTTGTGTGATTAGGAAAGAGCCGCGGGAGCATTAGCAAACTTGGCAGCAGATGATAAGTGCAGCATGGAAGTTGCAACAGCGGGAGGCGTGCATGCCCTTGTGATGCTAGCTCGCAATTGCAAGTACGAAGGAGTGCAAGAACAGGTAAATTCATTGTGTTTGTTTTATCAAATTCCTTGCTATTGATTTTGTTATTGTGTTGAGTTTGTGGTCTAAATGTGTGTTTTTCTTTCTCAGGCTGCTCGTGCTTTAGCTAACTTGGCTGCTCATGGAGATAGCAACAATAACAATGCTGCCGTTGGACAAGAGGCAGGTGCATTAGAAGCTCTTGTTCAACTTACACAGGCGCCTCATGAAGGTGTTAGACAAGAAGCTGCTGGTGCTCTATGGAATCTATCATTCGATGATAAGAATCGAGAATCGATCGCTGCAGCTGGTGGTGTTGAAGCTTTGGTATGCTTTTCCAAATTTCTTTAAATATATGATGTACATGTCTCATCTACAATTTTAGGGGAATTTGATCACCTTTTGTTGATTTATTATTCAGGTGACGCTCGCGCAGTCTTGCTCAAATGCATCCACAGGTCTTCAAGAAAGAGCAGCTGGTGCTCTTTGGGGATTGTCAGTGTCAGAAGCTAACAGGTAAGAAACATCTCCAAGTCTAGTTTATATGAATTATCGCATGATATATATAAGATCATCTTTGCTTTTTAACATATCACACATGCTGATACTTTTTCTTTCGCTTGCACCATTGATCTTTCCATCAGCATTGCGATTGGACGGGAAGGTGGGGTTCCACCTCTAATTGCACTTGCACAATCTGAAGCCGAGGTAAGCATTTTTGTCCTAAAGTCTTGTGGCTTAGAGCTTAGCCATTTGGGATATATGATCAAGTTTTCCTCAATGCATTGGGTGTTGTTTTCAGGATGTACATGAAACAGCAGCAGGAGCTCTATGGAATCTTGCTTTTAATCCTGGTAACGCTCTCCGCATTGTGGAGGAAGGAGGAGTTCCAGCTCTTGTTCACTTGTGTTCCTCTTCCATCTCAAAAATGGCTCGTTTCATGGCTGCATTAGCTTTGGCATACATGTTTGATGGAAGGTATATGTATATATATATATATATATATAACGCAGCTTAATAAGCAATCCACACTCAGTTTGACTCTTACGGTTTCTGATCTGTACTATCAATCTGCAACAGGATGGACGAGTACGCTCTGATGATAGGATCGTCTTCATCGGAGAGCACATCGAAAAGCATTAGCTTAGATGGAGCAAGAAGAATGGCTCTTAAACACATTGAAGCTTTTGTCATAACTTTCATGGATCCTCAAATCTTTGTAGCCGCAGCTTTTTCATCTACTCCTACTATGTTGGCACAAGTGACAGAGAGAGCTCGCATACAAGAAGCTGGCCACTTGAGATGCAGGTTAATCTCGGTGTCTTGTATTTTGTTTCATCGTAAACTGATTTGAATTTTTCTAAATATATTTTGCTGTTTATTTGCAGTGGTGCTGAAATCGGAAGATTCGTAACTATGTTACGCAATCCATCTTCGATACTCAAAGCATGTGCTGCGTTTGCGCTTCTTCAGGTATGTGTAAATGTGTGAAATAGGCATTGTGGCGGTTGTTTCTGTTAGTTGAGAGACATAACTGATGCGGTTTATGTTTTTTTTAACTCTGATTCAGTTTACAATACCGGGTGGTCGTCACGCAATGCACCATGCAAGCCTTATGCAGAACGGAGGAGAAGCAAGAGTTCTTCGTTCTGCAGCTGCTGCTGCAAATATGCCTCGGGAAGCTAAGATCTTTGCCAAGATTATCCTTCGCAATCTCGAGCATCACCAGGCTGAATCTTCCATATAATTTTTCTTCTTCTTTTTTAGAAAGTGATAGTGAAAAAAGTCCACATTTACTCAGAATTACCTCTGTATCTCAAATACACAGAACTAAGCCAAAACCAAGCTATGCTGCAGAACCAAACACTCAAGATGCTTTATCAAACCAAGACTGTACTCTGTGTGATAATATATCAGACTTTTTGTTTCTCTTATTCTCGTTTTGAGATTTCAGTAATAACATGTCCAAAGGATTTGAGGCTGTTGTTTTGTCTATCTTCTTCATCATCCTTTTTTTGGGCTCTGTTCATTTCGTTGACATATACAGTATGTTGTTGACTTTTGTTCATTAAAAAAATATAGAAAGAGATTGTGCAACACTGGAACATGTTGTGATCAAGGCAAGATATATGGGTTTCCTCCAAAACATACTTAAGAAAAGAGGAAGAGAGATTCTTTAAGCTATAGATCTTTATAGCTCTACTGTGTTTCACACAAAAGACATCCATCGTCGTCTTAAAAGTTCAAACTGATAAGAAACAAAGTCAACAAACCTCCATATCTCTCTCTCTCTCTCTCTCTCTCTCTCTCTCTCTCTCTCTTTCTGTAATTCACTGATCTGCTTCCATCTCAGCGATGATTCATAAACCATAAGTAATTCGTCTTGTCTTCAACCTGAATCAAACAAGCTTCTGGAACCAAACTTGATCCTCGACCGCGACCAACTTTTGTATAGAAGATCTGTGTGCCTTTTTGGTTCTCAGAGTCATTGGTCTGAAAATGCAGGTTCCCTCTCTTAAGAATGCTGCTACTCATTCCTCGTGTATTTCACATGGAGTAGCATTTGATGACACATCATGAAAACTGTGTTTTTCTGTCACCACTTGCCTTCCTCGTCTTTCATGTGCATAAGCAGCTTCCCGAGAACCAAATGTATGTTTCGCCGATAAGGATGTGTCGAATCTCCTGATATAAATTCCGAGACAACAGAATTGATCTCAATCGTGCTACATCCGACCTCTTTCTTGGCTTCGTTCTTCCTCATCATTCTTTTCACCGTCAAGACATCGTCCCATCGTTTATCTGTAGCGTACAAGTTCCTCAGCAGAACATAGTTCCCATCGTTATGAGGCTCAAGTTCCACTGCCTTCTTAAGAATCCTCTCAGCCCTTTCTATATCCTTGTATTGGCCACACGCAGACAAGAAAGAGCTAATAATTATACCGTTCGGCTCAAAAGGCATGTTTGAAATCAAATCCTCTGCTTCCTTTAGCCGCCCTGCTCTGCCTAGTAGATCAACCATACAGCCATAGTGCTCAATCTTAGCAACCAGGCCAAACTCTTCTTCCATCATGTGAAACCATTTTCTTCCTTCCTCCACTAATCCACCATGGTTACAAGCTGAGAGAACCGCGAGCATCGTAACCTCATCTGGCTTTACTTCTTGTAGCATTGCCAAGAACAGATCCAAAGCTGCAATTGCATTCCCATTCAAAGCGTACCCATGTATCATAGCATTCCAAGACGCGACTTCTTTCTCTGGCATCTCATCAAAGATCCTTCTCGCTTTCTCTATCTCTCCGCATTTCGAGTACATATCAAGAATCGCTGTACACACTTTCACCTTCTTATCGAGCCTCTTCCTCTTCGCGAAATGGTGACACCATTCACCGAGACCGAGAGCACCTGTGTCAGAGATAGCTGGTAGCACACTCACAAAAGTCACATCATCCGGATCAAGCGAGGTGGTTGCCTGCATTTCCTGAAACAATCTTATCGCTTCTTGAGCTTGTTTATTCTGACAGTATCCGCCTATCATTGTATTCCAAGAAACTAGGTTCCTTTCTGGCATAGCATCAAACAGTTCCCTAGCGGATTCCATGTCTTCGTCGTTGCAGTAACCATGAATCATTGTGGTCCAAGTGACTACGGTTTTGTTGGTCATCTCATCAAACAATCTTCTCGCAGAGGTCATGTCACCGGATTTCACATAACCATCCATCATCGCGTTGCATATCACAACGTCCTTAGCTTCAGGCATCTCATCAAAGAGCTTACTCGCTACATCTAGCTCCCCGCACCTAGCATACCCGCAGATTAGAGCTGTCCAAGAAACCTCACTTCTCTGAGGCATTTCATCGAACACATTCCTTGAAAATCCCATCTTCCCGAATTTGGCGTACATATCAACGACTCCTGTCGAAACATACATATCTGCACAAAACCCACATCTCCAAATCTGACCATGAATCTGTAAGCCTTGGTAAAGACACATACTCAAAGTGCAGGACTTGGCCAACGTCGTGAAAGTGAAGTTGTCAGGAGCAAAACAAGTCTCTTTCCTAAGATCTCTGTAAAGAGCAAACGAGTCAGAGTACTGACGCGTTTCGAGATAGGCCTTGATCATGGAGTTACAGAGGAAACTGTCTTCTCTCTTAGGCCTGTGATCAAACAGCTTACGGGCATGAGTAATCCCAACAGCCGACGCGGAAACGACCAAGAACTTGGTGAAGATCTGAACATTGGTCTCTACGGCGTGCCGGAGCATGAAAGCATGGATCTGAAGAAGAGAGAATCTGCCGTGTCGCTGGCTTTGTTGGAGAAGATTGAAGCACTTTCTCTCAAAAGGAAGCCATGGCTGTTGAGTTTCCCGCTCGTGTAGCATCATCATCATCTTATTGCAACTACGAGCACAATGCTCTGTATCTCTTCATCAACATCTGTTGAATAAACCGGTTTTATTAGTCGGTTAAGTTTTCCCCACTCCAACTAGTAACGAGAGAGTCTTTGACTTCACCCGCCAACAAAACTCGGTTTTCGGGACAAGACAATAAGTGGGCCGATTAATGGGCTTCATAAGATATAACGGTTTTGGGCTTCTTTCTCCTTGAGATCACCCTAATCAGAATCGAATAAACCGGAATCAAAACCGGACTATTAGAAGCGAAACCACTGCCAAATAAAACAAACAAAATGAAAACCAAACGAAATAGTTAAGGGACATTGAATTCATGCTCATCACAAAACCTCAGTTTCTTTCTCTCGCAACCGCTTCTCTGTTTAAAGTTATGGTTTTGATAAATCAAAAGAAAAAAAATTATAATGTAAATATGAAATTTCTCAAATTCGCTTTTAGCTAGAGATGCTTTTAATTAGAGAGACGATCATAATACTACTGACCATTGTGTTGTTTGTTAATTGGTCTCCTAAGGAAAGCTCAACCAACATTCACAAGGTAAAAATCTAAGGACTTTTAATGAGTTTTAGACACAAAATCATCAAACTAACTTCAAGGACTTTTAATGAGTCCTAATGACCATGGTGATGTTTGTTGAAAGTAATATTTGAAAGTACTTTTTTATCATAATCCTAATGATTATAGTGTTGTTTGTTGAAAGTAATATTTGAACAAAGATCGCACATCTGGGAGAATGAAAATGAGCGAACGAAAAAATTTAAACACTTTTACTGCATTCGAGAGACGTCCATCTCTGGATTCTCGAAATCTAGATTTAGAACCAGAAGTTGATGATATGTATGAAGATCCATTAGGTCATATTGGGCCTAATCCAGATCTTCCAAAGCATGAATTCGTTCCTTAGCTTGCTCGCCATTCTTTTGCTCATCCTGATCCTCTTCATCCTCCTGTTTTTATCCGTTCAGTCTTCGTTCCTTCGTTCTCCAACATTTACTTCGACAGCCGCTTTATTCATTCATAGTTACACAATGGGGGCAGATGAAAATCCCAGCCTGTCTCATCATCACTATGCCCTTCCTGAAGATTATCCCAGTCGTTACTATGGCAGCATGTAATGATTTTGGTGTGTGACTTTTCTTTTAATTTATAGACTTGAACTTTTAATTTGTAGTTTTTTATAATTTGTAGACTTTAAATTATGTGTCTTAATTTGTAGACTTTGTAATTTTTTTAATTTGTAGACTTTTGTATTTTTAATTTCAGTGTGTGATATCTTATTTTGTGAGTTTTCTTAGTTTTCATTCTCGACATGTCTTCCTCTTCCCTCAATTATTTTCTCAACTTCTAAGTGGATCAAAACTTTTAATCTACACGACATTGAAGGACCCACATCCAATAATTTATTTCAACATTTTGAGGAGATATGATAGTGTCGTCATTGGATAAACTAATTGTCTAATTTACCTGACATTTTCTCGAACGTTAAAAACACTAGTATGAATATATATGACTATCTGGTGTTCCCTTCTTGATCTGACCAAAACAACAAATATTTATCTCTACACGTTTCTGATTATATTTGATATAATATGCATTGGATATCTCACGTTATGAAATGGTAGATTAATACAGTTAATTTCCTTCGAGATTAAATTATAAATAGTATTTGGACAAGTTGGCACAGATGTTTGACAATTTCATTAATTAGAGACCCAATTGTTTCCTTGTGGCAAGTTGGACACACACTTTAATATTTTCAGGGTGAACATTTTGTTCAAACGAAAGAAGAAGGTGAAGAGAGAATGGGGAAGATAGATACACACATATAATATAAATTGATATCAATAACGACTTTCTACATAACTATTTTACAATGCTGACACAATACAATGTACCTTCGATGGCCATCATTCCTATTTTAATTTGATATTCAAGTTCAACCACCCTGTTCGAAGGAAACTCCAAGTAATTTCTTCTTCTACCGATCATGTGTTGCATGTTTTATTCATCCAAATCAACGTACAGGTTAATTTCTTATCTCTACTCACAAAGCCCAACAAAGTCCATTTTTCACCTACCAATTTCTCGACCAAATTATATCTACTTATATCTAAATTTTAGTAATTTTGCAGTTTCTTTATCAAAAAAGATTTGGTTTTATCTTGTACAGTTTAAAGGAAAAAACAAGTTACTCACAGCCAGTGTTTTGGAAGAGGAAGAAGAAGAAAGGCAAAGAGATGCTGCAACTCTGTAGTAGTTGACAGAAGTAGCATCCAACGGAATCTTCAAGACGCCGGTCCAATGATCAAACCAAATTCTGACTTGGATACTGGAAACTGGAACGAAAAGAAAGAAAGAAGAAACGTTTTATGCGAGTTAAATGATTAAAGACGAGACTTGACAACACTGGTGGGCAAAGTCCTGTAAGTTGAAGACACTGAGACTACATGAGAAACGTGATCATCGTGACAATGATCCATATAACGATAATCTCACTTTCTCGTAAATTGGAGACCAACGCTCGAGCAACATAACATAGAATCAATCTACTTCGATAAGATCCGTGAACGATCATATTTAATCATTTTTTTTTCAGTCTAAGCAAATCAATTTTTTTAATCAGTTTGTAAATCTAACGGACATTGACTTTTTTTTTAAAGTAAAAGAGAAAAAAAAAATCTA